CCCTCGTTTCGGGTGAAAAAGTGCTGAGCTTTCGTCCATCATATGATGAACATCATCAGAGCTGGGTTTCGTAAAAGTCTTACGTTAACACTAGAGCAAGAACACTATTCGGTTCTATCTTACTTCTTATATAGACACAATTGAACAAAAAAGAAAATAAAAAATCTAGATAGATTGATATAGATTGATTTGGTTAATTATCTTTAATACTCGTCCTGTTACTTTTGCTCGAGTGTATGTGTGAGTGCTAGCGTCTATATGCAATGTGGCTACTAAATCAGAGTTGTCAAAGGTTTATTCTCAGGTTCTGACCCTAAAAGGCCTAACTAACCAAGAGAAAGCCTTGAATGAGACTGCGTAGGTCCATAAGCAAGTATGGTTGAGATACTGAGATATGAGCTTGTAAGCATGAAAATCAAGTTATGAAATCATTTGCCCTAACCTTTCAGTCTAGGGTTATTAACGTTTAACCCTCCAAGGAAAGGTAAGACTGGGGTTGCGTAATCTGACATGTCTGGTTTGGTTGATGAGCTTATTATAACATTTTGGACGAATGTGAGTGAAATTAGAACCATCACCGAGCAGATAAATTGAGTCGCCTTCTTTTTGACGGAGGCTCAATACCCTCTCTTCTTCAATATATCAATCAAGCATAAGCAGTTCCTACTTAATTTTCTACCACTGTTCGTAATTAGAACCAAAACTAATCTTAGGCAATCCCTCTCTGAACTATTGAATGATGTGGATTTCATTAAGTTACAAGACATGGTTGACGGGTTAGGAGAGGCGACTGGCAGAACTACTCGTTTGATACGCAATAAGATGCTCCGGAATTTAGGAATTGGAATAAAGTCAAGAAACTTTGCACCTAGACTAATCATGGTTGTAACAAAGTGGGGATGGATGAGGTAATCAATTTATCTAGTACAATTCTGGAGGATAGTGTAGTACTTTTATTGGAAAGAAGACTGAATTTTGCTCTTCCAAATGAGATAAACCGTTTTATGGAAATACTTGTTGAAGTAATTAGCTTATCTGATAGATTGCCTGAGGAGGTAAAGAATAGTATTGAACTGGAAGTGATCCCTTATTTTGACCATATAATACCGCCTAAGAAAGATCGTCATCCTAGTAGGATTTCTAGGTAGCTGTGTAATCGTAACGAAAGCCGACAAAGGTGGAGCAGTGGTAGTCATGGGTAAGTCAAGTTATGTAGAAAAAATGCTAGTTCATTTAAATGATAATGACACGTATAAGCCTTTACCGAGAGACCCAACATAAAGACTTAAGAAGTGGGTTGACC